CATAATTACTGACTTCAGTATTTAAATTGAAATATATTTTCGTGTACATATAGGACCGAGCTGTGTACATGTTCCTTGTTTGTGAAATAACACAAACAATTCTAGTTGAAAACTTATTCTGCAATACCTTCAAATTGTTCAATTCTGTTGAATTGTGATGTAAATTCTCACTGTACTCCCGAGAAATATCTATTGTAAAGTATGACGTACAACCGTTGACGTTTATCAGTGGAAATTTTGAAAGAATTATGCTCACGTAATTTGAGTTTAACCATTGATTTTAAACAAAGATGTGTTTATAAACGGAATAACTCTACGGCTACGGAACCCTACTAAATAAGAGCAAAAGAATAATGAATAGGGTACATCAATTGATCTTTATGGAAATAATTCAACACACAACTGTTTCAAATTGAGTACCAGACGGTAAGAATTTGTTATCAATTTGACAATTGATCGAAATGGATATACTGATTCGTATTTTTTTCAGTGCTTAATTTGTCTTGACCATTAAAATGATTTTTTTAACGATCTCTCCGTCGGGACTCTACTCACAGTCGTTAGCTCTGAAGTGGATTGGTGGGCCGATAAAAAAGCCATTGGGCTGACATAGGCTGAAACCGAGCGTAGAGCACAAAATAGAATAAGATGGCAACGCACTGTAGATACCCTCTGCCCAACTGCAGGGATCCAGGAAGAGGTGATGATGATAATCATCACCACAGATGAATTAACAATTGATTTGTCAGAACCTTACCAAATTATCATTGTATATTACTTGTCTAATATCTGACATCCTAATCAAACTCTTCTACAAATTCCAAAAAAAATAAAATCGCAGTTCTAAAAGATGTCATTACCCTTGACTTAACTACAAATACGAAATAATTAGAGCCTGAACATCAAATAAAATAAAATCTTCCCAGATCTTATTGATATTACATATTCACACTGAGAAATTGACAATTTGGAATTTCCTGACTTCAAATTCACACAACTATTTACAAATTCAAATTCACACAACCAGAAAAATTAAGACAAAAGTTATTATACTATTTCTAATGAAGAAAAACCATTCAAGTTATATGGTGTTTTTTTAAAACAAATCGTAAAATATTAATTAGATAATTATTGCAAGACCAACCCTGGTTCTTTCAACGCAGTTTAATTGTGACATTTCTTATCTTGAAGGATTTTTTTTACCTCTTTACACTTCTTTCAACGTAGCTGATATACCTTATTTCAATTTTAGATCCATCTATAACATTGGTGAAGTTAATATAAACTTTATCCCAAATACGTAAAGTTACTTATTCAATGCACGACGTGCCAGCTTATTTCAAATGCATATGAAATAGAATTTGGTTCTATAGTTTTATAGTTCTTGCATAAATGTATGCAATCCCGTGGTTATCGATTTTATAGCTATAAAATGTACACGCAAACGAAAGACTGGCGGGACTTTTATTTACATTTTTCATTAAAATTATTAAGAATCTTTTATTATTGTGCCTTAAAACTCAAAGTATTGATTCTATAAAGTAGCACTTGACTTGCAATCTGCCTGTTCCGGGTTCAAATCCCGCCATGTACCAATGTTTTTCGATTCCAGATTTACATATGTACATTTATCCGACGTTCTTATGGTGGAGGAAATCATAGTGATACAAACTTTATATATCTGAGAAGAAATTCTAAGATATGTGAGAAGTCAGGCCGCACTAGGCCAGCGTAGTTGACTATAGCCTAGTCACTCCTAACTTAGGGTACTCGTAGGTACTCGGTTGGGATAAGTGAACTGATAATGATGATAAAGTGGTTATCAACTAGCCAAATACTTTTTTTTATTTAACTATAGCCACTTCTTATCGTAGCTACCATATTTTGATCTTTTTAAACCTGGACATCATATAAATATGCCTTCATCAATTTTTTCTTAGCTTGGTCTAAGTGTCTAACAAAAATTGCACTTATGAACATACATGGGATAAACTCGTAATAATAAAATTCGGATCTTTTTAGTACTATAATCTCTACTATTTGATAACACTAAAACAATACGTAGAAAGATAATAATCCCGTACATTTGGTTTTACCTTCTATCCATTTTATGAGATAACAACATACGTCAAACTAAAAGCCATTGTTTGGTAACATTTTTCTAAAAAAAACTATTTTACCGTTGCTTTTTGAGATCAAAATCTCTATATAAAACATATAGTCCCAGTCATCTATGACAAAAAAGGCATAAGAATATATTTGAAACGCAGATTTAAGTCTTAGAAACTTACGGTTGATGAAGTTTTTTTATAACAGAAGGGGGCAAACGAGCAGCGAGAACACCGAAGTGTTCAACGACGCTCATGGACATCAGCAATACCAGAGGAACCGCAGATGCGTTGCCGGCCTTTGAGATGGTGATACGCTCGCTTCTTAAAGGTTTAATGGTACAAGTTTTCATCAGATCATTCGAGTGTTTAGACAGTGAAAACTATCGTTCAATTTTTCTTATCACAAATAACGTCGAACGGTCAACTGAGTTAACACGGGTCACTTCATATAATACCCTCTGCCTGTGAAATATCACGTTCACACGACAAAGCCGATACAAACAATCAACTAAATCCCTTCGACACACAATAATCGATTGTGTATTGTGATAATCGATTTACACTAACTATTATTTTGAAAACTATAATGGTAAAGACGTTTGTAATTACAGAATAATTTTTGATTTATAACATCTAATTAGAGAACATAAACAATGCTTTTGTCTTTTTACTAGATGTCACCGGCGACTTCGTCCCGTAAAACCTTAACAAATAGCCTATGTGTTCTTGTAAATTTCATCAAGATCCGTTGAACTGTACCAGAGATACATTTTAACAAACATCCATCCATGTAAACTTTCGCATTTATAATATTAGTATTATAAGATTTCGGAAAAACAGATGAAGCCCAGATCTACAAAAGAAACTACTATACATTTTTTTAAAACTCTATAAGTACTAGAATTAATCCCTGAATAAAATAGGCTAATTAAAATTTTGTTATACTGTGTTCAAAAAAATATCCATTCAAGACAAGCTAGTTCGATAATAAAAACTAAACGTAAGTATATATATAATATAATTCTTCTATGAGTGTGTATGTCACTGAACTTCTCTTAAACGAGTGAACCGATTTTGATGATTTTTTTTTGTGTGTTCAAGGGGATCTGGGTATGGTTTAGATTCACAATTTTCATCAAATATTAACTTCATATTAATTTATTCAAATTAAAGACGTGTAGACAGGATAACGTCTGTCGGGTCCGCTAGTTTTATTTATAAAATTAAACGTAACAATGTCTTATTAAAACATTTCATTGTTATCAAGGTGTAAAATAATATTGAAGGGGCGATTTGCTTTATAAACATTAGCTATAAATATCTCTGGCCACAATCGTCGATTCTTTTATTTTAATTTGGCACAGAACTGTATACGTTTTCAAACGTACAATGAAACAGCCTACATATGTACTGTCGCGTAAAATCTAGCCTAGATCTTCATATAAGTTGCAAAATATAGTGAGTTTTGCCATAGTACATGGTGTTTTTTATAAATGCGAACCTATAAACAAAATTGTGATTAAGATATATTTTTAAAAATTAAATTTTAGTATTGATTTAACGAGTATTTTAGCTTAATAATAAATATATAATAGGTATATATGTGTACCACTTTTAAAATGTATAAAATAAAAGTCTAATTAAAAAGGACACTTTAATTCATACTCATGTTTGCCTTCAAGTTGATATTACATAATTTTCCATTAGAAAATGCGAGGGGAAAGATATTTCTAGTATATATGTACATATATACAAAGGGTAGATTAGCCTTAAAGGATTACACTTCTGGAATCATATGAAATACATGTTGTCTATCTAATTTATTTACATAATTGTACCAGACACCAAATGAAATGAAAATAAATAAAGTCAATCCATTTAATTGCTCATCAATACGCTAATAAATAATTCATTTTAAATAAAGAATAATAATCAGCGGAGAGTTGCGACCAACACGAAATAGTTGGATTAAGAGCCTGACACAAAAGGCAGTTATTTTGAAAACCGCGATGGGGGAGGTCACTTTTTCTGCAGCCTGACGTTCCTTGAATCATGTAATTTATCAGCTGGCGGTGCACTTTTAATATAATAATAATTATTTTTTATGTTATTCGATCTAAACTTTTACTTTATATTTACAATATTGTCTGTGTTCTAAACCCATATTTTCTGCAATGCATTTGTGCACTCTGCATAAGTAATTCGATACGGTGTGTGCTATTGTAGATAAAATTAACAAATGGTACATGCATTGAACACTATCTATTCAATCAATAAAATTGGAGTGTTTGTATGTAATATCGAAAAAAAAATATTTTGTACACATGATGTATAAGCGTTGCTGATAACGAAAATCTTTATTAAATTTTTAGTACCTGGATGACCGAGCTTTGCTCGGTATTTTTTTTTTTAATTGTGTTTTTGGAAATTATATTTAAGTACGAATTACTAATAAAATGATTAAATATGAATAACGTTTTTCGATGTTACCGATAGATAAAGTTAAGTTTATGTTTAAGATGATTATCGATAAAACGCGAATAAAATGACATTTTCTAAAAATGATTCGATTTATCGCCCCCGAAACAACCTATATACTAAATTTTATGAAAATCGTTGGAGCCGATTCCGAGATTCAATTATATATATATACAAGAATTGCCCATTTAAAGATATAAGATATATCTATTTGTCTCTAACCGCCTTTGTTCTGAGTAATCTTTGAGACAACTAAACCGATTGACGTGATTTTCACAGGAAACTAATGTGTTAGGAATTATTATAAGGTTTTATTTAGTTCTTTTAATTTCTAGTTTATATAATACTATTTTAACCTATAATTACTGCAGTCTTTCAATTTATAATTAAATAATATTTTGTTTAACTAACATCTATTTGGTGGGTCCCACCAACGTCTAAAATGTTCGTATATCGTTGTTTTCTTAACTAACTCATCTTCATTAAGAATAGAACAAAATCTACAATAGTCATCAGTTTCCAAACTTTCATGTCTTCTGTGATATGAATAATGATCTTTCCATCTGAAATATTCAGCGTATTTCTCCGGTGATTTTATTAGTTCGTTCATTTTCGCTGCCAATTTTTCATAACCAAGATCACGTGCGTTCAAATAAATCCCATCGGGCATAAATCTGAAACAATTTTACATGTTATAAACAAAATTACATCTTTACAAAAACAGTTTCAGCGAACTTATTACAATATTTTTAAATCGCAAATATAATTTAAATCGACTAGAACAATGTTTTTCAAGTTCTTATGATGAACAAAAACAAGCTTGATTTTCTGTCATTCTTATATTTTTTCTTATTTTTTACTACATGTTTCCAATCTCAGTATGTGATTATAAATTTAAAAAAACAGGTACAGCACTGATAATATTATTTTCTAGCATATCTTTAGCGGAAACAAAGTGTTATAATTGTACACAATTATTGATAAAAATGAAGAAAAGTAAACACACTATTTAAATAGCTATTTTTTTAATATTAAGTTTAGGATTTTTCACAAGTAGATATAATCATGTAATTGAGCAGGATTTTATATTTTTATTATACTTGCGCAAGCGCAAAAATCTTACCTGGTGTAGTTCGCTCCGCCGTAAACAATCGGTACAGCATTATGTTTCAATCCATGCAATATCTTCTCTGTCACGTAATCTTCACTAAATGAATTTTCAAATGCTAAATAAAAATAATAATCCTTTTCAATCATATTAAAACACTCATCTTCATGGTCTCGTCCACACTTCAACGGTCCACAAGCTCCATATATGTCAACGTCTAGTTTATATTGCTCTAAATAAGCTTGCAACTCTTTGACAAATCTTTCACGACCACTCCTTGAATAACAATTTGATACAAACCAAGCTGCAGCTTTTGTTTTACTTTTTAATTTCGTTTTAAATTCCTCACTAACCGGATTCATTTCCTCTAATTTCATCCAATGCATAACCGTCTTAGGCCCTATTATTTTCTTATTTGAATCTCGAATCACGATATAACCCCATTTCGCTTCAGAATCCAACCTATACGTCCATGTCCAATTAAAAAAATTATCAAATCTATTCGAACATATCGGATAGTTGTCTGCGGATTCGATTGTCGCGAATACATACTTCTGATGAGTAGATCGTTTAATAGGCAGTAAAATATTATTCATACGCACAACTTCTGGACCAGCGAATGCTATTAAGTCGAATTTTGTATAATCACCTAAATAATTCTTATCGCCAGTAACAAAACAGTTCGTGTATGGACACTTTCTATCTATAAAACCTTTTCTTCCTTCACCCATGTACACAAAAGGCACATTCTTCGAAGATGTCCATCGTAATATGTATTTCAAATCAGATTCATTGGCGACCAAATTTGTTATACTATTGTCAATTTTTTCTCTATTTGACACTTTTTCAATTATTTTATCTATATTTTGTTCTAATTCGTAAATTTTTGTATTCATTAAAACACTTTCACGTGGACGAGTTAAATCTTTTAGTGACAAATATAAAAACACTAGTACAGAAAGAACTGTGCAACTGAAAAATAATTTAACATAAATTTGATTTCTCATTTTGTGTGCGATTGTGTGCGACACAATGCGCTGTGGACGGCGCGCGCGCTCTTACTACGACCTTATCCTTTACTGACGAAAATAACATTGATTCGAAATCACATGTAACTATCTCATGCATTATATGAAGGATATTTTTCATAATTTCCTTTACTACAACTATAATTATATGTTTAAATATCATATTATAAATTGCCAGACTACGTAGATCTGAACTATATTTTACAAGCATTTTCTAACAAGAATAATATAACAAAATGAGGCGTCAGATATCTAAATATATAAGAAAAATAAAGCAAAAAAGTATCGTATTATAAGAGAAATATATTAAGACATAAATTAATATGATTTTAAATAAGTAGTTAAAGTATTAACGAGAACATCAATGACAGATTTAATAAACACTTAAGATTAAACATACAATAGAATAGTAATTATACAGTAAACTTATGACTTTGTATAACATTTTAATAACAAGGTAACTTTACCATATCCAAATGTATATAAAAAAAGTAATATTGGTATATACAACACAGCAAGACTAACAAAAAAGTAGTAGGGTTCAATGGAGGTTAAACTACTTTAAAAGTCGAAAGTAGAAATTTTTAAAAAAGTAATTAATTGTCAATTACCAGAATTCTGAAGTTTTCTTGTATTCATCAACGATGTCAGCGAGATATTAAAGTATGCAATACTGACTTAGCGCGGTAATAAAAACGATAGCCTTGTTTATCAAATCAACGTGTCGAATGAAGGCAAAACACTGGTCAAATACTTTTGTTCGATTTCCTGGATGCATACGTTGTTCTGCATATGTTTCCTACTTCCGAATCTTTTTATAGAAAGATGAAATTTTGATGAAATATTCTGACATGACCTCAACATATGAGAAACTAGCTGTCGCCCGTGACTCCGTTCGCGTGGATATATAAAATAATTAGTGTAGCCTATGTGTTCTTTCAGACTGTGTTCTATACGTATGACAAATTTAATCGAGATCCGTTTAGCCGTTCTAGAGATATCTTCAAACACCCATCCATGCATCCACATCACATCCATCTAAACATTTGCATTTTTAATATTAGTAAGTTAAATAAAAGACGCTCTTCAACGCATAAATTGGGAAAAAATGAATAAATAGTATCCTATATCCGTCTCCTGGCTCTAAGCTACCTCATCACCAATTTTCACCCATATCAGTAAAGCCGTTCTTGAGTTATAAATAGTGTAACTAACACGACTTTCTTTTATATATAGATAGGAAATGCAGTAAAGACTTCTTTGCGAAGTAATGGATAAACCTATGAAAAGGGCGCCTCATAGTTTTGGTCCCTTGGACTCAATTTCCTGAATTTCCATGTATAATGAATATATCGTCGTATTGAATATTTGTGACTAAACTAAAAAATGCAATTTAAATTCAATGATACTAGAAATAACTTGCTCAAAATTAGGAAAGGTCTTTGAAATTAAATAAATCGAAATGGTGCATTTCTATAATTTGTAGACCAAATCTGCAAATAATCGACATTTGTTTGGTTTTAACAATGCTAAATCACGTTGATGATTATCATTGTTCTGAATAAAAGATAAACATCCTCTAAATATAAGAATAAGTAAAATAAGTGTACCTGTATGTTTAGTTATCTTCAGTTTATTGTTATGGGATTTTATGATAATGACCTTTTTTAATTCTGAAAAAAAAAACACTATATCTTTATTTTCTTCTTTTTCTAATGCCTCACCATTACTGGACGTTGGTTGTCAGCTCAGCGAACTCTTTCCTGCCCTGTTCATCATCATCATAAGTCCCCACCGAGGGGCTCGGAGCCTACCCTAAGTTAAGGGTGATTAGGCCATAGTCAACCATGCTGGCCCAGTGCGGGTTGGTTGACTTCACACATATCTTTGACATTTCTTCTCAGATATGTGGTCTGTGCCAAGCGAAAAAGTTGTTCAACGCTGGCAATATTCGCCATTCCCGGATGTTCCTCAGCCAGGACTTTCTCCTCCTTCCAACTCGTCTTCTGCCTGCGATATCTTTATCTAAATATTAAAAAATATTTTTCTTCAAAATTTGACTAGTATTAATTCATATACAGTTTACTGGAACAGAATCATATATTTTTAATAAACTAAATTCTGCCTTAGCTTTGACTGAAAGATAGCACAATATATGCTTGTATTATTATTGTGTGTTAGATTCCCAAAAAGATCACTCTAAGACTCGTACTGAAGGTAACAGGGAACAAATACGTAAAATACAAAATCAAATTTGTACGGGGATCAGTGAAAATGTCAAATTTGTTCCTCCGCCTTATTACAAAAGGATTTGTTTTGAATCGAAAGAGAAATCCCTTTATTTGTTGTAGGCAACAGAAATAGTTTTTACATATTTATCTGCTACGTGATACATAAACTTATAGATAAACAAGCTGTCGTCCCCGACTCCGTCTACGCGGCATTAAAAAAAACATAATTAGTAGGATATGTGTTCTACCAGACTATGCTCTACATACATGCCGATCTGGAGATACCTTCAAACATCGATCCAAACATTCGCATTTATTATATTAGTAAAATGAACAACTATTATATGAGCTTTATTATACTTACTTTCCTTTCTTATCTTTCAACTAAGTTACAAAACCTTTATCTTATTTCATGCCAATACTGTACGGTATATTAAAAATCTAGTAAAACCTATTTTTTACCACGCCAAAACTTGTTTTCTTCATAATGACATAAAAACCAATTTAAGGTCATAAATATTTTACATCAGGCCAGTATCGTGCACAAGTAAACTGAATGGAAATGATCGATTGCCTTAAACAAGCAAAGGCTTAATTTGAAAGCTCTGTCCCCAGGGATATTTGTTAGATCGATACGAGCGGTCTTGTTCCCAGCTCGTTACTTAATGAAGATAGACTAAGCACGCATAACTATATTAATAAGTAATTTGAGGTCATTGTACCCCAATAAAGTGGCTACTAAATTTGTTATACCTTTTTTGTCTAAACCTTTACCTATTTTTTGGAAATATATATTTTTAGTAGCATAAAAACATATATCAAGTAGCGCTATGCTTATTTTATGGTAAACTTGGTATGGTCTTGTTCAACATTCTTTTCATATAAACCCAAAAAAAACTGTCCGTCAATTATTAGGCAAATATTGATAAACGGAAATGCAACAATCGTCTAAATTCCGTGAAACTAGAAGTACCTGTAACCTATCTCTTGTTTTACAAACAGAAAGAAAGAGATGACAGTATGTTTTTGAACATGTGTCACAGCAGTGAAAGCCCACGGTAAGTAAACGCGTGAGAGACCACTTATGACATGCTTGTCAATTTTTATGACCATCTACGCGAGACCCGTAATAGTGTTTGAGTTGACAGTTTTTTATTTTATTTTGTTAGCACTCAGTAGTTTTGTTTGATTAGATTCAATCATTTATTAGTATAAAAAGAGACACAATTAACTATGAATAATTAACAATATTTAAGTGCCATAAGTATTCTATTTTTTAGTTGCATAAATGCAAACTGAAGTGTTGTAATATTATAACGTCGACACTTAACTGAAATTTATTGTTACGCTATTATCTTACTAATATTATAAATGCGAATGTTTAGATGCATGGACGTATTTGTTTGAAGGTATCTTCGGAACTTGATGAAATTTGGCACATACGTAGAAGATAGTATGGAAGAACACATAGGTTACATGTAAGGTTTTTTTAGTTTTACGCAGATGGAGTCTCAGGCGACAGCTAGTATTTAATATTTTAATAACTCATATGTATTATTATATCCTTTTAATATTTAACAAGCGCTCGACTACACATCCGCCTTGATTTGGTACATAATAGTCAGATGAAACTTTATTTTATCATATGTTGTCATGGAAACAGGAAGTAATAATCATTACATGAAACATAGCGATTAAACAAAAAATGCGCATACGCTGCGTAGCAACTGCGGTGATTCATTCGTAAAATCTTATCTATATATTTAAAAATCAATTGTGTTCGTTAGTCTCGCTAAAACTCGAGAACGGCTGAACGGATTTATCTTATCTTGGTCTTGGAATGTTCGTCGAGGTCTAGGGAAAGTTTAAAACCTTTAGAAACCTTTTTTAATCCCGCGCGGACGGAGTCGCGGGCGACAACTAGTCTTACAATATAAATACTAGTGTTTAGATATTTGTTAGATGGTATCTCCAGAACAGCTGCATGGATCTCGATGAAATTTGGTATATATGTAGAACACAGTCTGGAAGAACAAATGGGCTATCTATGATCCCGGAAATGTGTAAAGTTCCCGTGGGATACGTTGAATTTAAATATTTACTGGATAACACCGCAACGGTTCAATATATCTTATTGAAATTTGATATAGATATAGAAGTCTTCAGCAAGACATGAAATAATCCGTTTTTTAATTCTTCGTAGACGAAATTGCGGGCACAAACTATAATAGTATTATTATAAATGACAGATACACTGAACTTAAGATAAGTAAATAACATAACAAAGTTTTAAATGAACAAGGAAAATCAGGTTGCTTAATTGAAAAGCTTTTAAGCGTGTTAATTATTAACGAGTGAGCTGGGAAATATGTGTGCTTGATCGCTCCCAACTGACCACAATGTACCGAAATTGGGACATAATGCATGAATAAACATGACAATATACTTTAGATAAACAAGCTTAAGTTAAAAAATTAACTTTGATACAGTCTGTTTTACAAATAAACATAATAATCTGTATGGGTACGAAATGTGACAAATTAATTTTGAGGATAATTTTTGATAAAATCTAATAACAAATAGCCTTAGTCACTCATAATGGCAAATGTTACAAAGTAAATTATTCAGATAGACTGCCTAATGTAGAATTTAAACTCCAAGGTATGAAACGAAAACGAATTCTCTTCATGGAAATGATTCTGTAATAGTCGATTCGAAGGGTCGTTCGTGGACGGATATCGCTTAATGGGTTTGATGACTGGGCAACGAGAAAAGATATTACAACAGCAATGTTGTGCCACCAACGACGCAAACACAAACCATATCTAGAAACGACTCTAGACTTACACAACTAACATCTTTGTACATAAAGAATAAAAATTGTTTATAGGATAACGAGCTGTATGTATAGTCCTAGCTGTCGCCCGCACAGAATTAAAAAAAACTTAATTAGCCTATGTGTTTTTCCAGATTATGTTCTACATCTATGTCAAATTTCAGCGATATCCATGCAGCCGTTCTGTTGATACCTTCTAACAAACATCCATCTAACCATCCAAACATTCACATCTATATGATATATATATATATATATATATATAAAAGAAAGTCGTGTTAGTTACACTATTTATAACTCAGGAACGGTTTTACCGATATAGTTGAAAATTGGTGAGGAGGTAGCATAGAGCCAGGAGACGGCCGTATGATACTATTTATTCATTTTTTTTAGAATTTATGCCTTTAAGAGCTGCTTTTTATTTAACTTATCTATATATTAAGTTTTTTATATATCCACGCGGATGGAGTCGCGGGCGACAGCTAGTTTATAATATTAGTAAGATGTAAATAAAAACTATCATATAAGTTAAGTTATTTGAGGCAAATTACACGTTTCATGTGAATAATTTCGATAGTACTCACTGTAATTAATTATTAACAACTTATAGATATAAGCTCAAGTAATTACTTACAATATGCTTAAACACCTGCCTCATTACGTCTAATCTATCACCAGTATGTTACTACAATCTAGCATAATCTGCATTGTAATGTTGTGAACAAATACCACCAGTGATTACTTACATCTAAAATAAATGTTTTTGTGTCTTTTTGACATTTTATCTAAGTTTAGGCCAGTAACGCATCTGCTGTTCCTCTGGCGTAGCGTCATATCAACTAAAAATAGCAATTCTAAACTAGTTTTCCCTTTTCTGGTATAAAATGCTTGAAAGTAAGTATTAAATTATTTATAAAATTGATTGCGAAGATTATGAAGTGAGGAACGGCGTACTAATTTATGTGTCGGCAAGCCCCAGCAAGCACGTCGCCCATTCATCCCCCTTTGCCGTCTCCGTCGCCCGTCACCGAGTCACCTTAACCGAGTACCTCCATCTATCAAGTAAAGTGGCGACACTTTTCTTCCTTACTTTACCTAAACTTAACAAGGACTTGAAAAGCACGTAGCAACTTGACTTGGAGTTTCCTAGGTTTATTTGGTTACCTGGTCTAGCTTAATTTACCACTTTAACAAATAAGAATGTATTATACGATAATCAAATTTACTTAGAACACTAAAGCATCGATGAATACCCGATCTTAAGTAAGATTATTACTGTGGATTTCCACTGCCTAAGCACTGGTATGAAAATATATAGTCGTCTTATTTTTTTTTCATAAAGAATAAATGGCATGACGATATGCCTGTTCAAGTGACGTAAAATTCCATCCTTACTAATCATTTTGCTTTTTCTCATATTTTATTATCTATATAGTTTTATGCTCGCTTATAAATTCTGGAACTCTATTTTGTGGATTATATTTATTACTTTTATTGACCTCATTCGGTTAATCGCAGAAAAATTTCAACTTTTTCGCATATGAAAAGTTTTCATCAAAGCAAACAGAAAGTTCGTCTTTCAATTCACATAAAACGACGATAGGAAATTTAAAAAATCTTTTTTTAATTAAACTAGTTTAAAATTAAAATTTAAAATCTGAGCAGTGTCTTAAACTTTGTCGTGTGTATATACTATAATATTTTCCACTGTTTTAATAGCAAAGAATTTTATTTCGAAATAAGTGCTATTATAAAATTACAGGCGATTTAGTAGATGACTATTTTATTAGAAAGGCATTAGGGGATGTATATAAAAAATTATCTTCAAAACATAACAAACAAAGAAAGCAAACATGCAAGAAATGAAAGACTTGAGTTATAAATTATGTCGCTCGCGACTCCATCCGCGCAGAATAAAAAAAAATATTATTAGTAGCCTATATGTTCTTCAAACTATGTCCAGTATGTATGCTTAATTTCCGCGAGATCCGTTTAACCTTTCTGGAGATACCTTCAAAGAAACATCCATCCATACCTAAACATTCGCATTTATAATAGTAGTAAGAAAATAAGTACGTTGTTATTTATTTTAATTAATATTTGAAATTACTATTAATTTAGACTGTCAATACAAGAAGAGGGATTTAATACTCGTTGATTTATAAAAAGTCATTAACGTCAAAGTACATGGATAAATCATTATGAAGAGCTGGGAACGATCCCTCAAGCACGGCGTCACTGACACGACCTGCCACCGACAATATCCAACGCTTGAACTTAACGACCCGAGCTCGACAAAATGATTTTTTATAGATGTAATTTTATAAGATAAAAATAGAATGTATTATAAAGTACAGTCATCTGCATTAACACACGATTCGGACTTAATATTTGTATACATTTGTGCAGCTGACTGTACACTAAGTTTCCTTCTTTATAATTAATTCCAAAAAAGAACATATCTAGATACCTAAACATGTATATATTTGTATATATTTTTAATATTAACCTGTAGCTTGCAATATAATAGGAGTATCCATTTCGGTAATTATATTATTGGTTTCATTCTTTATTTAAGAAGTAAAAGTAAATTTTCTTATAATTCGGGACTGATTCGTTCATAAAACGGATAATGAAGATTGCTTATTCATTTTCCATTCCTAAATCATTTCATATTGCTTAAATGTTCACGTAATATCGTTGGATATAATTAACACGATAAACAATAAGATTTATGGTTGAAATCAAAAAGGTTTATAATTCATTTAAAAAAAATCGGAAACTAGAGTATAGCAATTTTTTTTTTATTTACATATTCATCAATTATCGTTAACGTAGGAATTTGGAAAGAAAATTATAGAAATATAAACTAATTAAGACCAAACGCAGCTTTAATTTTATAATTTATGATCAAAACATCATCCCGATATCCATTCAATTAGCAATAATGGATTCGATTAATTAAATCTATAGAGATTACTGTGAAAGGATGATTAAAGAACACTCTATTTATCATTCGCAAATACTTTTTACAACCTAATTATTATGATCGTGATTTTAAAGAGAAAAAAATCATAATAAACGGAACCTAAATAGAAAACTAACAAATATAAGAATGCTTGATTATAAGGTTGTAGCTTTCAATGCATATTACAAATAAACTTATATAAAAACGGCTAAACACTCACGTATATTCGTCAGGTGGCGGTACCGATTACCTTACCCATCGGAGGCATTTCATCAGGGTGAGTGGGACTGGTATTATTTAGCGGAAGCGGCCCGTCGGGCTCGAAACTAGTCGGTGTCAGCACCGGACGAATATATGTAAGTGTTTAGCCGTTTTTATATGAGTTTATTATAATGTCTCAAGAAAGTTTGAATAATTCATATTACGAATAGAAAAAAAAGCTGGATTTAGTTTTGAAATGACGATGAAAAGTGTTGCAATATCAATTAAGATTGTGGCGCCCTCATGGCTATTATATTTTTGGTTAGGTTTAAAAAAAATAACCGCGTACATTTAACCTTTTTGCTTAATTATTTATGTTTTATGTTAGAAACGTCAACGCCTTGACATAATATGCTGCAAGAAAATTAGGTGAAAATTTACAAAAGCATAATATGCGCCCTGTCTTCGCTTACAGGAGATATTCGCAATACTTTAAAAATGTGAAAAGAATTGCCTGGTATTAATATTTTAAATTACTAATCGCAAATTACCTATTAAATATTTGGCAAAGTACAGTGTTTGATGCTTTGGTAATACTTGAGATTCTACTGCGGTAATCGAGATAAATATGAGATCTTTAGTTGCATACAATTTTATATATTAGAGCTGGCTAATCAAATTCCAAAAATTCTAGAATTGTCTCGCAATTTTTTATTACTAATCAATTCCATAAATAATCGGTATTTTTTCCAGGTATATTTATTATAGTATATAGTTTAAGATTATAAATTTAAAATGTCTACAAATGAAAGTAACGAGCAAATGGAATATATTATAGGAGAAGTAATGAATCGGCTTAATGACATCTTCCGAACATCAATTTTTATAATATTAGCAGCTTTAACAGTGCTTATAGTTTCCTTCTTATATTTATTGAGACCATTTTATCAGTTCCGAACATCGGCACCAATGACACGTAATTCTTTTTTTTTAAATTGATTTACTTATTAGTTATCTGTTGTTTTTAAAACGAGCGTCTTACTGTTAGTAATCTGCAGGTCGTAGGTTCGAATCACACCACATACCAATGTGTTTTTCGGTTTACATATATACATTTATCCGACGTTCATAACTTGAAGGAAAGCATCGTGATACAACTAGCACATGTCTGCGAAGAAAATCAAAGATATGTGGAGTCAACCAACCTGCACTGGACCAGTGTGGTCGACTAAGACCTAGTCACCCCTAAGATCCGAGCTTCTCAGTGGGGACGTACAAAGAGCTGTTGATAAAAACTGCAACAACAGACTAACTGGTGCTCTTGTTGCAGTTAGTATGTGATACACAATACTCCGATATTCCGTACGAGTCCTGATAGTGTAGCTGCACGATATTCTTTGTTGTATATTTGCTTATCTTTCAGAGGTTAGAAGTTGTCCCTGTTTCGAAACAATTTTGTCAAATGAGAACTCCTTTAAGGCAGTAACTCGTTCAATTTTGAAAGATAATGACTTAGACATTAAGCCACGTGAAATGGCAAACGATTGTATCAAAGTTAACTCTAACATAGAAAAAGAAGCCGAGAAGGTAACTACATCTAAAGACAGTTGTCAAGGACCAAGCGAATATCATGTTGATGAGGATTTTCTAAGAGAAATAGGCTTGGCAGAGTGTTTCAAAGTAAGTCAAATTATAAAATTCACATTTATTAAATAGACTAGCTGTTACCCGTGACTTCGTCCGCACAGAATTAAAAAACTTAATAAGTTGCTACTTTGTTCTTTCAGACTATGTTCTACATCTTTGTAAAATTTCAGCTCGATCCGTTCAGCCGTTCCGGATATACCTTCAATCCATCCATCCATCCATCTAAACATTCGATTTATAATGTAGTAACAAGTAAGATGAGACTAATCCAATTAAATGTTTTTCTTCTTTTACTTGATCGGATTACTTACCTTATTTATGTTTTAGCTGCCACATCTGAAAGAAGTCCAAAATTAAATTTATGATTAGTGGCGAAACAGTACAGAAAATGCTTATGCCGATATCAAGCTATCATTCAAGTTTTCTTATATATGTTTGATTTATATTTAGTAATTATTACTTACGAGGCCTTACTTATTAAAATATTATTTCATATTATTGTTTTTTTTTTATTCACGAATAAATAATGATAAGATTTAGCTTTAACTTAATAAGCTTTTCTTTTATATAAAGAATGCTTCTTCTGGTGGCTACGTAGATAAATATATTTCCCTTAAAAATAGAAACAAAACTATGTACCGAGGTATTCATTAAACTGATAAAAATACTTATCATCATCGGTTTGCACCTGCTTGCACCATCGTCACTTGCACCATGCCGACCGACCGCCGAGCGTGTACTATTCCTCCATACATCTCTATCAGCCGTCATATTTGAATCTACCCATTTTCCTACGCATATCCTCTTTCACACAATCAATCCAAACTTTCTATGGCATTCCTCTACCTTTTTAGCCATCCACATTCAATCAAAATACTCTTTTACGAAAATATTCCGCAACTGAAAACTCAATTTCACATTATGTTTTTTTTTATTGAAATTAATCTGTACTCTTTTATGACATTGTCTACTCTTCATTAATTTTTAATCTATAAAAAACTAGACATAACTATATACAAAAAAATATTTTGACGTCAAAACATAAAAATGTGAATAAATTGTAATAATGTATAAAATATTTCGACAATGAGAAAAACTAGACACAGAAATGAAAGGTGCCGTTGCCCTATTTACACCGGTGAATAGTAAATTTAAAAATTACGACGGTTTGACGGCGAAAAATTATAATTTATTCTTGAAAGTCAACATTTAACTGGTCCGTTCTAGGTCGACATTATAAACGTAAGGCGTAACTATAAATTAGGCAACGTTGATCCGTTTTCATGTCGCAATTATTAGGAAAGTAGTGCTCAACAATGATAGAGCTTGCCTTAACATTTTCGCACGAATTGTCCCGGCTCGCCCGGTGAAATACCACGACTACACAGAAGACAGGCGTGAAGTGGAAGCAATTCCGCGTTTCGTCTGATAAGTGTGCGTCCCGGAGGTCTAATTTAGTCCTCTTTCCCTTCCCACCCTTTTTCTTATAAGGAAAGGATGGGAAGTGGAAGTGGACTTTACGGATCATGCATGGAAAGAGAAAATATTTTCTTTCCGTGCATCCTCTTCTCCGTCGATTAAAGGTAGGCAACGCATATCTATGCATATCTATGGGCAACGGTCACTTCGCTATTTCAGCGATTTCAGGTGGCCGCTCGTTCGTTTATGATATAAAAAAGTACTTATGACATGAGATTTAGATATGAATTTAAAAGAATATAATAGGGGATGCCTTAGAAATAAAAGATTAAAGATGACATTATGAATGAAACGATTAAAATCAACGATAAAACAATTTTCTAGAAGAATACTCATAGAGAACACCCTAAATGAATTATGTATAGCACTATATTGTGCGGAACTTTAGCACTTAAATTATTTGAATTTTAAACACTTTAGTACTACAGATTAATTCTTTTTTTTAGCTATTTAGTATTTTACTCAAATGACATTTATTGCAGGCGCTTATCCTGTTCGTAGTAGAACGCGCTTTAACGTAACTGGATTGAAACGTAATTTTGCTAAAAGTATGAAACTATGGGATACAATAAAATGTTACGTCAACGATTGCTTGACTATTATGATCGACAACTATACGGTTACTATGATCGTAGTGTTGATGCTACTCAGTCTGTTTATACCATTTGTTGCTAAAGCTATTCATGATTCCTCGGAGACGAAAGCGTTGAGGAAAATTGTTAATGCTATCACGGTGAGACTTTCTTATCTATTTACTACGAAATACTTTAACTAAGGACTGTTGATATCTTTCTTGATTTACTTTACTACATTTTTCCTACGACCTATCTGCATTTATATTAAAAAGTGTATAACAACATTTCTCGTTAGTTTTTAAGACAAAAATCCTCATTTAAAACATATCATTATGTATGTATATATGTTTTAAACAGAGTGTTTGGTCTCTGAAACCAAAGTTAGTCTTTAGACGAAGTAATATTAGGGCAGAAATAATGAAGTATATTTTTTTTCATTAGAGAGAAGTAGCTCAAGCGCAAACCGATTATGAAGAGGTAGTTGGCGAATATAGTCTTTTCCAACACTCTATGCATGATGTTGAAACCACAACTGTAAATATTTATTTTGATTTAAATTTAAGGATACATTCAATTTAGATAGATTCGTCATCATCAACCTGCCCTTATCCCTATTGAGGATCGGTACAGTATGTAGTACTCCTCCATACATCTATATCAGCCGTCATATCCGAATCTAACCCCTTCCTACGCATATCCTCTTTCACACAGTAATTACATACTTTTGTAGCCATCCACATTCAATCTCATTACTTTTTTGACATCATCATCATCGTCATCAACCTGCCAATTACAACCAATTTACATTGATTCACAAATCATATTTCAATATTTAAGACTTAAGACTCCTAAGGACTTTCGTTTGCCAAATACTAAAACTCATTATTATTTGTCGAATTATCTCTTTATTAAAATTTGTAATATGTAATAAAAGATTCGACGATGTTTGTCGCATTCAACGAAATTATATATTTCGTGGTTATAAACTTGATTTATATCGCCTTATTAGCCTTTGTCTATTGATAGATAGGCAGATAGTAAAATTGTGTTTCATGTCTATTAATTATTTTTTTTATTTATTAGAAAAACAGTTTACATTACTGCGAAAGTTGTCAGCGTATGTTAAAGTCGCAAGGTGTACAGTCGGACGCAAAGAAAAATATCCTTCAACGCCTACTTCGATCAATTAAATGCATCCCGGAACCAAAACTTCCAGTAAGTTCTAATGTGATATAAAAACAAGGCTAAACACTCACGTATAATCGTCCGGTGGCGGCACCGACTAGTTTCGAGCCCATCAGGGGCCCTTCATCAGGATGAGTGGTACTAGTATTATTTCGCGGACGCGGCCCGTGCGGCGACGGGTCGGTGGCGGACGGACTAGTCGGTGCCGCCACCGGATGAATATACGTGAGTGTTTAGCCGTGTTTGTATATCAGTTTAGTATAATTTCTCACGAAAGTTTGAATAATTTAAAAGTTCTAATGTATTTATCGTGAACACCCACTAACAAAAAACTCGATAAACAAATAAGTTACTAAGAAGTTCAAACATCATGTGTACGACATGATATTCTGTGTGGCGGTGGGATCATATTAAAGGTAGGCGTAGCGCGAGCTATCTTCAGCACCCAAAGAGATTGACACGGACAACACTTAAGTATTTTCAATTAGTATGACATAAATGGCGATATTTGTTAAAATGCAGTGAAAACTCCATGGTTACAGACGATCATCTATCTTTCTGGCAGCTACTCACTAAGATCATTGGTCACGAGCATTTTGGTCTAAAGAATAGGAATCTTTTTTACTTAACATTAGCTCTTTTGATCAAAATCAGTTAGCGACATCTATTGAAGTTATGTTTTTAGTTTTACTTATAAGTTGTACTACTAAAAGTTTGAAATAATTATTACTGGTATTCATTCCAGCGTCTAGAATATAAAAAGAAAAACTGAAGAATGGATACAAACACGAGCCAATTTCATCAACAAAGTTCTACACGAATTGTATTAGTGGTTAGGTTAATTTCATAATTAAATCATAAAGAAGATTAAATGGTTACTTTTATTGCTAAAATCATTTTGATTTTTATCTCAATATTAAATGTAATAATGTTTTACTACTGCTGTTATACCTATTCAAAAATATTAATCAATACCAAGTCCAAAAATACCAAGTCAAAAAATAGCAAAATTGACTAGTCCCTCGATCAAAGAAGTATTTTTCGTAATAAAAATTGTTGTTAAATATTTAAGAGAAAAATGAATATTCAACTTGAGAATATAATTTACTGCCCTCTATAAATACTTATATCTATAGTCAAACAAGGATATCTGGCCCGATAAGAGGCGCTCCTATCGCGGATAATTCTGTCTGAATATATGTAAAACCGACTTAAGCATAGAAAATGGCACAAAAAAATATGAAATGACAGTTATACAGTACGAAAAGGACCTTGTGACACTTTTTGACATCTCCAGGGGGGCGCTAGTGAGCTATCGTAATTTAGTTTGATTTATACCCGTCATTAATTCAAATTGACTTGACAGCGTAACAGTTTGACAGTAACAAAAAATTGTAAAATGAATAAAAATGTCAGAGGTATTTCATAAAAAAAAATCAAAAAATGTCTCATCACCAAGTTCAATAAACCAGAAAAAAGTATCAAAATTAATCAGTAACATAAAGATGCCTCTGAAAAAGTCTGTTACAACAATGTGCATAGAAGCAGGACTGTTCTTAGCCGCTGTAGTGATAGCCACACATCTCACTGTCAATGTGTGGGAGTACTTTGTCTTGAGATCTGAACTCAGCGAAATCAATTCCAGCTTACATATATTAAAGGTTAGTAACGAAAGTATAATAATATTCAATGTTCATCTAGGCTCAAGTTTAGCTGCAGTATGTCTTCACAGGCGGATGCCATGTCCACGGCAATAAAGCACGTGCTGTCTCGTGCAAAATTACGAGTCGCCATTAACTTCGAGTCTTGTCATACTTTTGATAATTTTTAAGTGCCCTCTGCTCGTTACTTATAAAACTTACAAAAATTAATGCATTTAAAGTCTAATGAATCTACAGATCTAAAGCTATATGGAGTAATTCAGCAAGGAATCATTGCGGTAACTGCAGGATCGATCATCGCTTTGTTTGGCCTAAGTCTTGGCTATCTGTTACTGTTATTCTTCTTCTTCGTAATTGCAGTCTTCTCAGACTGGCCGTGGTCAAGTATCAATGTCTGGCGTCATGTGGCGCCGCCACTCCTCCTTAGTCGCTTAGTACATAAGTGTAGGTTACTGTTATAGTTAAAACAATTTGTGGCTATATCATAAAATAAATTCACATATTTGTGAAGATAACAACGTTTTAAATTAATGTTTAGAACTACGTTTAATTTTACTCTCAATGAAAGTTTTTTTTTTCGACATCAAGATATGATTACGATTAATAAATAGAATTAAAAATATTTCCTTTCAGGATACAATCAGCCATATCAGTTCAGAATATACTAAAGTAAACAAGGAATTGCATGAATTAAATTCAATAACCAACATGATGTCATACAGCAGTGAATTGGGAGAAAAGAATTTACCGACCTTACGTAATGAAAAAATTGGTCCCGTATAACTATAAAATCAAATCCTTAAGCAACGTTGTGAGTTTCCATTGCCGAAATATCTATACAAAAGTATTTTTCCATCTCTCTATTTTACATTTACAAAGAGAAACTAGATTTTTGTTTTGGCAGTAGAAACCCACGATAAAGATCACATGGCATATTTGTATTTTCACTACGGGTTTTGTTTCAGTTAATTGTCATCAATTATGTTAAAGTTTAATAAATGATTTAGAAACTGATTAATTTCTTTTGAAAAAAAAACTTGTATTAGACTTGAAATCCAAACATGCGCCTATTTATTTTTAATAGCAGTAACCCGCGAATTAGTCAACGTGGTAATAAATATAGTATACTAGCTGTCACCCGCGACTCCGTCCGCGGGGGATTAAAAATAGATGTTGGCCGATTCTCAGACCTACTAAATATGCTCACAAAATTTCATGAGAATCGGTCAAGCCGTTTCGGAGGAGTATGGGAACGAATATTGTGTCACGAGAATTTAATATATAAAATATTTGAAAAGTAGTAGTCTATGCCAACTGGGAGTAGCTTAGCTAATTTTTCAAATCGGTTCAGTAGTTTCGGAGCCTATTCAATGCCAACAAACAACCAAACCTTTATATTATTACTAGCGCCCGTGACTCCTTTCGCGTGGAATTAAAAAAAAAACTAATTAGTAACCTATGTGTTCTAGACCATGGCTTACGTTTATGCCAAATTTCAGCCGGCGCCGTTCAGCCGTTCTGAACACCTTCAAACCAACATCCATCCATCTAAACATTCGCATTAATAATATTAGTAAGATAAATTGCACTGAGACAGGATCCGTCTATATATGAGCATATACTCGTAATATTTTTCTCTAAACTTTAATGTTTTTTTTTAACCTAGTTAATATAAAACGTATATTCGATACAATGCTGTAAAATATTCTTGTTGTTAGAGTAAATATTTGATCAGAGTTCAAACTGAACCTAATTCAAGTTCGAATATTCCCTGAGGTACCTCGTAGGAAGGATAAATCGACTATCGAGCTACTATGCTGTATGAATTATCAATACGCGTTGGAAAAAACACAAAGATTGTTGAAATTTATGTAAGTAGTTAAAGCTAGTATTTATACTCCTATGTATCAAACTTTAAAGATTAAAATTATTTTACCAACGATATTTTTTTTATAAAATAGCAAGAGATTACAATAAAAGTAGTAACAATATTATATACAACTGAAAATAAAGAGAAGAAAAAAAATATTCTTTTGTCGCCCGTCGTTTATTTTATTACGTTGCATACGGATTTTGTGTACTTTTATTCAATCCTCGGAAGTGTTTTCTCGAATATTCCAGTGATACACCGACATAAGGCAAAGGCTCTTGTGTTTTCGGATCCCAGCCGTTTTCGGTAGCATCGAGAGTGTTAGCAAGAGTTTCCAATACTTCTAATTGCCCTTCAAATTTCGGGAACTCACGGGACAATTTTAACACTTGATTCTCCAAATCTTTATAGCTATCTTTCATGAAACTTAAGTGAGTCTGGAAAATTAGGTTTTAACGTTTATCTATCTATTACATTATGCACATAAACAAATTTTTAGTGGACGAATCTCTTTAAAAAATGACATGCAGATTTTGCGCACGTAATGATTAGAAAAACAAATAGGCACTGAAACAACCAGTATCTGCTGCATTTATAGACGTTTAGTAGTTTTAAACATTTCCTTGAGTTATTCAAACTAAGTAATGGAACAGATTAGTGACCAAATGAAGACTGGGCGTGGTTGTTAAGTCTTGCAATATGAGATAATGTCTGCCGGTTTTAGCGCCCTGGGCGAAATTTTTACGGCACCCCCATTTTACCATGCCTTTGGGGGTGATAACAGGGTAAAGTGAGACTGTGTAATTAGTTGACTCGTGGCAACCCTTTCTGTCCTTGGCTGTCGCCCAACCGCGACTTACCCTAACACCAGTACTTGACAGTGTAAAACATTCACTATGATAAGTTCAGTTCAAAGATACATTTTGAATTAGTCGTATAATAATTACCAACTTACAGATATATTCTCGACATGTTTACTGATACAGTTTAAGTCACATTTCGCCTTACAAGTGGTGCAGTTGTACTCCATAAGCAAGTAAACTATTACAATCAGGCTGGACAGTATCAAGTAACTGCAGATATGAGCCAGGTAACATGAATTGCTCGTTTCATTCGTTTCCAATCCATTTATCTCTGTAGTTGCACCAAAACGACATTTCTTTCTACGGTTCCTTCTATTTGAATCCATTTTTCATGGATTTTTGTGATGTTATTGATTTTTTTATATTAGTTTTTTTCTGGCCTATTCTGCATTACTCCTTAAGCCCCTAAAATATCTGATAACTTAAAGCATTTTGTTTTTGCTGTATTAATTTTAAAAAATGTAATTCATTACGTTGAAATTTTGACAGAAATACAACTCATTTCATGACAGCTAAATGACGTTAGTTTATTTTTTGAAAATAATTTTGTATATTTAAATTATATTTAATATTAAATAATCTTACGGTCTATTTAATAATTTAATTAAGAACGACGGTCCTAATTTAAATAAAAATAACCAATTCTACAAATTTAATAAAATATATATTTATTTTATTTATTCTTGCCTGTTACCTGCCATCTTTTACCGACCCTTGAAATCAAACCTCTACTAAAAAGAAAATAGGAAGTTCTATTTGCATATTTGGTAAAAAGATGGCGCTAAAACACACTACGCTTGAAATCTCAAAAACCTAACAGGTAAATTAGAATTAAGGATTTCTTTTATTTTATCGTGTTGTAGGACACCAATTTTGTCTTACTATCTACAAAAACCTTACGTATTCAGTTCAATTTGTATCAACTTTTGGTTATCCAATAGAAAGATGTAGACTTACTTGGTAGTTATGTTATATGTATGTGTATAGCCTGCGCCGTACAGCCTCCACGCTTTTCGGGTCGCCGCCATTCCGTCGCGACGTTCGAGCAGTAAAGCAGATATTGTTATCTCTTTTGCCCTCATTGTAGTCCATACTTGGTTTTCATTTTACATTTCGAACTAGTGTTGTGTATCAAAAATTATGTGTCGATTTTTATTTATTAAAAAATGTTGAATATACTAAGAATAGTAGTAGTGACTATAAGTAGTAACTTTCTAAATGTTACATCAGAATTCTTTCAATATTTTGACTCTTGTATGAAACTTATACAACATTCGCATAAGCCTTAAATATTTCCACACAAACTTTCATCTCCTATTCTTTATTGTTATTTTACAACCTTGAGGGTAAAAATTTAAAAATTAATCATATTGAATCAAAAGCCTAAAAATCAAGTTTCTAGCTTTAAAAATTAACATTAAAAAGTAGGTTCAGGCTCTAGACTATCTGTGTACAATTATCATTTAAATAAGTACAATAGTTTTGGCATGACAGCGTGACAGAGACAGAGTTACTTTCGTATTAAGTTAGTAATAAGGACGGTTGATGTTGCTATTATAATCCTCTGTTATTTTTTTATATCCCAAGTAACGTTGCTTTAAAGTATGTAAGTTGAAAGTTTGAAAAAAAATCTTCATTAAAACACAAATATATTTCAGAAAAGTCGATAGTTGATCAATGTACATCCCTATTCGTTGGCCGGGGATCGTGCAGTGGCCGGTCGCGCGCTGCATGATGTCATTCATCAGCACACACTCACACATAGCAGTGACACCACAGCCGACACGACAGCGACCCGCACGCCTGTTTACATTTCCAAACGCCAGATTATTCTCAACTGCACGCAGTGACATCACGGCGTACCGTGTCTGTGATTTAATTTATTATTAATCGTATAAACTTAGTTGTTAGTTCAAAATGGCCAACAACAGAGCAGCCAAATCTGGATTAGCCGCGGAGGCACAAAGAAAGGTAAGTTCTAATTCTAATTTAAATTTTTCGGTTGCCGGTTATTATACGACTGATTTTAAAAGTCAGTATACGATTTGTCATAGCTCACCTCATAATGTCTGTACTAGGTAACTTAGATATTGATTTGGGATGCTGAGCTCCAGAAATGTTTCAAGGACTTAGCCATGACCTACTTAGAAACACATGGGCACACGTTTCTCAAAGCTTTGCAATTCTTATAAGAATCTGCTAAGTATTTACTTAGCAGACATTAAAACTCATTGCACGTTAGAAGACTTACGTAAAATTTTCCGTTTGCCAATACGAACATTTGTACCCGCAAGGTATGTGTGTAGGCTATACATTATTGATACCTACGTAGGCACTAAGTTATAACCTAAATGGTGAAAACAGGTTTTAACGAATGCAAAGAATGTTATCTTTACGAACCCAAAACGCTGGCTGTTAATTTCAGTCCCGATAATTTGTAATAAAACAATTGCATATAATTACTTACTTTATAGTTTTAAGAATAAAAAACATTTTCGAGTTGTCTGCGCAAATAAGAAAGGGGAAGTTATTTTTAGTTTCAATAAATAAAACTTTAATATCATTAAATACTTTTATCTACTGCTTTTACTCAACATCGACCTCAACCGTATTGGGTGCTTGATAACATAACGTGTTTTAACATAAAGTTGTACGAGCGATGTAAACAGCGGTCATGAATTTTCATTTGACACACTTTATCTGTAAATTTTTACTGCCAAAACATATTATTATCTTAGTTTTTTCAAGAAAAATGCCAGATGACAATATATTTCTATATTAAGTTATCTCCAGGGGAAAGTCACGGTTAAAAGAAGATTCCACCATTTCTTTTCCAATCACTCTCGGTAAACCGTCGTATTATTTATACGTTTACGTAATTCTTACTGTAAAATAAATGAAATATAACATTGCTGATTTGCGAGGAAAATAAATTAAAGTTCTTCTCCTACTTTTATAAATGTATAGATCAATATTCAGTCGCTATCATCGTTTTTAATAATGTATTGAACCATATCATAATCAAAAGAGCTACATTGTAACCGACACAAAATTCGTGGTTGGAATTTAATAAAGGCGAATCATACGATGTACATGCCATATTTGCAGGACAACGGGATATGGTTATTCCGGGTCAGTCGGCGTTGTGAAAGAATTTGTGACGATGACCTAATTCTTCTGGCTAACTACGCCTATTAATAATAAGATTTTAATATATTAACTTATTTTGATCTGAAAATAGAGCGGTAATATAAAAAGTTGGTATGCAACATAAATTAAAAACAGAATAAGATAAGATTATGTGTCTATGCTTTTAAATTTAAGAACTTTTTATTATCTATCATGAATAATTGCGTGATAAATTGTAGTTCCAAAATTCTGTGATATTTAACAGTTTACTTCTAGAATAGTTTTTTTTAACATAAAATGTGGAAATTTTTATCTATATTAGTTTTGTTTGTAATATTTAGAATTGTTCATGAATTATATTAATATTGTTATCTTATATCGTTACCAACATTAGGTCATCGCTCAATAAATGTCAACACACAACGAGTTTTTTTTTTAATCTTCACCTAAGTTTAGATAACTAAATATAGTTGCTACCATAGACTGTCTGATTATTTTCTTAGATTTGTAACTTTTTGGTAATCGGTTACGTGGAATTTTGTACATTTAAGGTTTTTTTTTATTCATATTTGTATTTAGTGATGGAGGTTTTGAGCCAAAAAAAATCGCTCCAACTTATTCCTTAATTAACAAGCGAGCTGCACTCTCGTAATGAGAGTCTACGTTCACTGAAATATGAAAAAGGCTAAAATTAAAAACGAACGTATATTTTTTGCTATCTATTCTATAGTACAGACATTTTTATTTCAAAGTTATCGTGAAAATAAATAAAAGTCTTTTTTTAACTTTCAACAACAATATAATATCTATATTAACTTACCGCGGGGTTTTGAGAGCAAAATCTTCGTTTAAAATATTGTGATCTTTGTTTTGTAAAAGACGAAGGATAGGGATGATATCTTTTATACAGAGATTTATGTCTCAGAAACCGACGATTATTGTTTTAAATCCCAACGTTGCAAATGCTAGTTGGATACATTAGCCAGTACTCTAGACAGGACATTTTACGTAATGAAATTCCATTCATAACTAAATATCACGTCAACTAAAACAAACTTTAATTGCAACATTAATAGTAAGAGTCTTTATCTTCGTATGCCGCATAGAATGTAAAGCAAATCTTGTCAAGAATTAACGAGTAAACGCGGGTTTCTGAGACCTACAACAACGTTTAAAACATCTCTGTTTTGTCAAAGATAATGTGAGAGTTTTTGGACTCAGAAACCCGCGGAAAGTAATCTATTTACAACTATTTTTTTAAAATTTCCATCCTTAGCGTTGTTCGATTCAATTTCCATTTGTATAGCAATAGGTTTGTTCCCATTGAAGATAACTATACGGAAAATATTTTCATATTATGTTTCACTTAAGTAAATAATTATAGAATTACAATAAGCGTTTGTCATCAAACGATGACAAAGATTGCGTCATAGACATTATTGTGAATCAATCCCACGTTAAATTCAACATTTGCAACTTTACAAACTGCCACTTATAGTAGAGAATACTAGCTATCGCCCGTCACTACGTCCATGTGGAATTAAAAATAAACTTAATAAGTAGCCTATATGTTCTTCCAGACTATGTTCTACATGTGTGCCAAGTTTCATAAAGATCTGTTAAGCGGTTACGGAGAATGCATCCTACAAACATTCATCTATCCTTCTTACTAATGATTGAGTACTAATAAAGTTTTGCAAAAGTCATAATTTAACTTTACTAGTAAATTAGATAACTAAATGATTATTAGACGTTTCAGAGTGTGATTAGTAATATGTACATTTGTCCTATTTCGACTCAGCCGAGGAATTACTAACTATTTAATTAGTAAGGTCTATAACTGAGTATTTAATCAAAGCAGTTTGTAGTCGTTTGTAATTAATTAAACAAAAATCTATACTAAGGGTAACCTTTATCTACCATTTAACTAAATTAACAGCAGCAGTTTATCGGTATAACCAAGATATAAGATGTACGTTTAATTTTTTATCCGTGTATCTTTGAATATTCTTGTAAACGATTATAATACTGTTACAACGGGCCGACTTTCTTCCTGCCGCGGGCCACACTGGTTATTCTAGGTCAAGGGGAATCCACCGACACCTCGGGACCGGTTTTCGATTCGACTTTTGTGAGGGGAATATTATCGAACTTATAAGATGTATCGCTTAGTGTTTAAAGTCAGTGTCGTAATTTTATTACAAGGCGCCTCAATTATCATATTTAAAACTATACAGAGAGCTTGTAACATTCGCTGGAGTTGTGCATTCCAGTATAATTTGCTGGAATTATATTTCTACAAATATTAGAAGTGTGTTAAATTTGAAGATGTCAATTATTAAACTCATAAAATGTTCAGTAACGATTAATTCTTTTCAATTATAAATGCGAATATTTAGATGGATGGATGTTTGTTTGAAGGAGGTATCTTTGGATCCGCTTCATGGATCTGGCTGAAATTTGGCAAAGATGTAGAACATAGTCTGGAAGAACACATAGGCTACTTATTAGGTCTTTTTAATATCGAGAGGACGGTGTCGCGACTGCTAGTAAGCTTATAAAACGCCCAGTAAACGATTATTTTTTTCTCAATTTGTTCCTTTTATAAATTATTTCATAACACAAAACATTTCTATATTTGAAAACGTCTTATTTTTTATAGAATTAATGTTGATGGTTTATGAAACGATTCATGTTTTCTAACAGTAATTATCTAAAAACTCACCAGTATAGATATTAATTTATTGCGACTCTTTTTAATATTATCTGCATGTATCTTCACGTAGAGCGTTTTCTCCTTTATGTCACCGCATTGATCGATTTACATTTGCATTTGATCAGATTTCCATAGCGACAGGAAAATTCCTGTTTTTTTTCATTCTAATTGTATCATTTTCATTATTAATACAATGCCTAGTCACTCGCACAGTCACAGTCAAAGGTATACAAAAGGTTAAAACGTTTGTAACGCGTCACTGATAAAGCGCATACCTTCACGTAGCCTATGATTAACTTGTTTGTTCAAATAATGTGGAATTCACACGAATTATAGATGTTTAAGCACTTTATATTGTGTCAAGAAGTACTACGACATTTATAGTAAAATTACATCATCATCCTTAAGTCCATTGAGGGGCTTGGAGCCTAAGTTAGGGCTGACTAGACCATAATCAATCACGCTAGCCCAATGTGTGTTGACTTCATACATATCTTTGAATATTCGAAAGTTTTCCTTTATCTAAAAAATATTAACTAAATTTATATAATACTAGCGGACCCGACAGACGTTGTCCTGGCTACACGTCTTTAATTCGAATATTATTTAAAATTTGACACTGCGATGGTAGCGCCGTCTGTCGGATCCAATGTAAAACATTCAAAAATCAACAACTATTAATAAATTAAAAATTAATTAAAAAAACATTGTCCAGCGGACAAAATTATGAATCTAAACCATTCCCAGATCCCCTTGAACACACACAAAAAATTTCATCAAAATCGGTCCAGTCGTTTGAGAGAAGTTCAGTGACATACACACTCACGGAAGAATTATATATATAAAGATATTCAAACTTCTTAAGGGAATGAGAATTTACAAAGATATTAAACTTTCAATCGTATGATTGAACACGAAGACAATACTCAGAACAACCATTAATAATAGAAGAATTAACATGAGTTATAAAATCATAATGAAGTCTTAATACGGAATGTTTTCCTCCAACAATACTACTGTTACTCCGAATACAATGAATTGGTATAGCGACGTTCTTATCAAGAATTTCTTGAAATAGTATTACGAAACTGTTTACGTATAAACGTTAAAACCATGAATGTTTTCT